CATTAGTCTTAAACTTTACATTATTGATTACATTTTTTTGGTATTTTAAATATGATAATTTTAAATTAAGTCGTACAATTCATATTTTCTTAAAAAAGACAAAATTTTGAATGTGGAGTCTKSATTTGGACCGAGGGCTGCATCTAAGGTGGTTGGGATGTTCAGCTGATCGAGTGCSTCTGTGTRTTGTCGGCATTCTGTGAGGATATGATGAACTGTTAGTTCRGTGCCACATKTTGTGCAGWTAGGTTTTTCGTCTTTTGTCATGAGGTAGCCGTGGGTTAGCCGAGTATGCCCGATACGAAGTCTGTTAATGATAACTCTTTCTCGATATATTTTATTGAAAATATAATGCAACATTAAGTAGGCAACTGGAAATGGGCGCTAATAATATTATGATTTGTAAATTATAACATAAATAATCAGATTACGCACACATGATATTATTTCTTTAATTTCGGTAAGTAAGGTACCAGATACATTTTAATTTTAATTTTAAATACTATGATATCTTAATTTAGATATGTGTTATAAAATTGATGTATACATATCTAAGTTTACCGAATAAGACTACAGATATGAAGTACTTAGATTATAATTTAGTATAATATAATAATAATGATTTCTAATTATTTAACAATATTTAAAAAGGATAGTTATACAAATGTATGTTTAATGAAAGAGTTATAGATTAGTTAAAAAAAAAAAAAAATGAAATTCAGACGATTGAAAAATTTGAAAGAGAGAAGTTATGTATTAATAATAATTATTAATATAGGGTTTTCTTTACAGCGGTTTTAGACACGAAATATTTTCAACTGAGTGTAAATTTTAATCATTCAATTATTCATGAATTGATAAGGATGTCTACTATAAATTAACTTATAAGTAATAACAACTAAAACTGTTATGAAACTTATCATAATATTATTTGGTATCGGAACACAGAGTGCACGAATGAAAAAAAAAATCATACATTCATTTATTAAGTAGAAAATAACAATAATGTTGTAAGACACGCGAATATATGCATTACACTTACTAATAAACGATATAAAATCAATTAATTGTAAGTTTAAACTTAAAAACATTTGAATAATTCATAATAAATAATCGTTGTTATAGTCAGTTACTATCTTTTGTATGATATTAAAAATTACATATTTTTGTAAAATAAAAAATATATGTACACACGTTTGGGCCATTAAACGCAGTCAGTATAGCTATACTATATTATGGGCATTAATTATATTGTTATTGTTTGTTCAGCATAATATAATCTTGTGGCCTGTTCGCGTGGTTGATGTAAGTTATTGCGTTGTAATGAAAAACAGCATGGGACAGAAAGACCAGGTCGCTCAAGATAAAACATGCAATTTAATATTATTATGGCACCCATCACAAAGACATATTTTATTGATGAACGGAAGGCTATTCGGAAAACGGGAAAAACGGTAAGTCGAACATCACAATATGTATGTATGTACAGTTAAATGCGAAAACGATAATCTATAGCGAGATAATCATTGCGATTGATTTTTACAACTATAAGAATAACGAAACAAAAGAACCGCCATAAAAGTGAACAATAAAAATTATTATTATTATCGTTATTCCGAAAAATAACTGATCCAAAGAACGGATGCCGGATGTTTTATGCACCTCATCCGCATTGGACTATACCTAACATATTATTGTTATTATTTGAGAATTAAATTGTCCTTCAGATTCGGTTGAATATAATATGGGCAACGAAACAACGTGCACTAAAATGTTACTTATTATTTACAATCGTACTGGTCTTATATTATGTTATCGTTATTACTTATTATTATCACATATTATGTAATTTCTAAGACATAATATAAATTATTATGGACGCGCCGTAACTCCGCATTCTAAAAATATTTTTAACACCAAAAGTTCCCATGCTTATATCGGTGTAAAACCATGTTGAAATTAAACTATTATATCTGCAAAGCAATATCTTATCATTATTGTGTACCGATTAATTCCTCGTGTCTTGGTAACTCAACGAATTGACAGTGATCACTGATCAGTTGTCTATCAGGTTTAGATTTCAAATTTATTTTATTAAGTTTTACTTTTACATTTAAAAATGGCAAGTGAAATAAGTTTTATATACAGTCGAAAAAAAAACGAAAAAATGTGCTGTTAGTGAAAAATAATTATAAATATTCCAAGTATACAGAATTAAAATCAGGCGAAACTGGATGGAAGTGCATACAAAAAACATGTAAAGCAAAATTATACACAATTGGCGTTGATAATAATTTTTCGAGAGAATCAGGTACACATGAACACGAAAATATTGAGACCAAAATTATTGTTCGACAAACAATTAGTAATGGTATAAAACGAAAGGGACTTGATTATATTAATGATCGTCCCTCCAAGTTAATAAAACATGAAATAGCTACTAATGTAGTAGCAGCGTCAACTTTAACATGTAAAGACACAAAATTAATAATTATTATTAATTAATATTATATTTTTTTTGTATGCATTAATTATTATTAATTTTATATTTTATAATTACCTAGTATTATCTGCAGTCTAATATTATTTTTATTTAACTTTAATAACATGTATTGTATTTTGTATTTAAACATTAAAAAAAATTATGTGCGGAGTTACAGTGTTAAAAAAAACTTCATATGCGGAGTTAAGGTGTCGAAAAAAAACTTCATATGCGGAGTTAAGGTGTCGAAAAAAAACCTTGTATGCGGAGTTAAGGTGATATATTATAAAATGGCGACGAGCCGTGCGGAGTTACGGCGCACCGATTATTATACCTACCTATAATAACATATCTGAACCAGATTACTGCGATATCCTAAGCGACTTGGTCTTTCTTTCACACACGATGTATATTGAAATGGTTTAATCGGCATGAAGTAAAAAAAAAAAAATTATAAAATACGACAAGGTTTTTACACAAATTTTCGAATTTTGCAATGCGCATAGGTTCCAGTCAACCATTATTTCCGGTATTTAATTTGCAATGTACCTACCTGTTATATACCACTCACTATATAATAGGAAATAATAGTGCATATTATACTGTGATACTATTATAATATATTATTTTATTGAAAAAAGTAACAAGACGCCGACGAACACTGTTATTGGTTAGTGGTTATTGGGTTTGAAATTTCGAATGAAATTTAAACTAAACGTTATTTCTGTTGTTGGGCATTAGAGTTAATGACGGAGCCACGAATTTTGCCGGGGAGAATTTTATGTCCAGGCGAGGGAATTTATTTTATTTTTAAACGGTCAGGTCGTATTTTTATTTGATGGGGATTTTATATTTTTTTACTCTGTTGAAAATTGCAGTTATTATTCACTGTTAAAAATTAAATAATAATGAATAATAATAATAATAATAATAATAATAATAATAAAAACTATGTGAATGTATGCGTAAAATCAAATCGAAAACTCCAAAACCGTAACTGTTTGACTTATAATAATGAGGACATATTTTGATCGTTATTAATATTATCATAGACATTTTGGCGGGCAATGCAATATGGCGTAGTAATAATAATAATATTATATTATTATAGCTGTTTTTTTGTAAAACAAAAATCGCATAATATTAATCGTAAAAGACGCATGGTTTAATATCAATAATTTTCTCTCTCTCTCTCTCGTTCCATCACCGATTATTTCCATCAAACAACGTTGACGGCAAACATGTCCATGTTGAAATTTCCGTTGTTCTGTTCGCCGTTGTTGTTGCCGTAGAAATCCGGTTCGGATGTGTCCTCGTCACCCAACGAATTCAACGTTATGCAGTCCTTCGGGCTGCACGCGATCTGCGAGTTTTGGCCGCACTGACATTCCAGACAGGATCCCGCGTCCCTCGGCAACACGCTGCCCGGCTTGTACCTGACACCTGCGCACGAAACGGATTCGATGTTAACAGGTGGGCGTTAGGTACAATGATAACAATAATTATTATATTCGTCGATCGGATCGACGCGATCGCTATATCGCTGCAGGCGTTTTTTTTTTTATTTATAATATCATTATTTACCCATGACGAGGCAAAACGGTTCGGAGTCATCGTTGATGGGTGTCACGGTGGTTGTCATCAAAACGTCCGAGGGGCTCGAGTGCGGTACAAAATTTGTCGATTTCGAACTCGCATCGGTTTCGAAGGTAGTCAAAATCACTGAAAAACAATAAATTTCCGACGAAGGTTAGGTCAGGTTACAGGCGAGACGCGTACACATAAAGCTATATACAAAGACATTTCTCGCGATAGTAAGTACCTATAGGTACCTACATAAAGCGTATCGAACGTAAACCATCTTAAGAGGACGCTATGTCACTATGTATCCTCATGTTTTGCCTCAAAATTGTAAAACATATCGGAAATTGTTTCTCGCGGGAACGAACCGAGAAGACTACAAATATATAACTAAGAAACGAAATCTCCATTCCATAAAAATGAGAATTTTAGGCTGTGAAGTATAGTTTTTATTTTTTCGATATTAGAACTATAAAAAAAGTTGTTCACGTTTGAAAAACACAAAAACAACGGATTTTGAAACAATAAGACGTTTTTTTTGTAAAAGTGATATCAAAAAAATCAAAATGGTATTTCACAGACAACGTTCTCAACTATAAATGAATATCGATTTGGAGTCCTATAGCTATCATTATACAGCCCGAGTGGTTCTACCCCGCACAAAACAGTTTTCGTTATGTTGTATTACGATTGTTAGACGGAGAAAACACATAATGCAGGCGCCTTAATTATTATAACTTAACATTTTTTTAATAGGTACTCGCGCATATATTATAGTATTTAATAGAGCAGGGATGGAATATAAAAGAGGCACACGCGTGCCAAGGTTAGCGCCCATGAGATTTTCGATAGCACTCGAAAAAAGGGAATTATTTATTCCGCCGAAACTACCTGTTTAGAAAAAAGGTTTGTATCGATTCCGCCGGATACTGTATAAAATATCTACAAATCGATTCCGCCGGCTACTGTTTAAAATATCTACATATCGATTCCGCCGGCTATTAATTCCGTCGGAC